CCGCCGGTGCCTGCAGGCGCGATGGAGAACGGCTCGGCCAGCGGCAACCAGAGCCTGGGCAGGATGCCCCGGCAGCCCCTGGAGCTGCAGGTGGCCACCATCCTGCTGGTGCTGCTCATCTGCGGCGTGGGCATCGCCGGCAACGCCATGGTGGTGCTGGTGGTGCTGCGCACCAAGCACATGGTGACCCCCACCAACTGCTACCTGGTGAGCCTGGCCGTGGCCGACCTCATCGTGCTGCTGGCCGCCGGGCTGCCCAACATCTCCGAAGTGCTGGCTTCTTGGGTGTACGGCTACGCCGGCTGCCTCTGCATCACCTACTTGCAGTACCTGGGCATCAACATCTCCGCCTGGTCCATCGCTGCCTTCACGGTGGAGCGGTACATCGCCATCTGCCACGCCATCAAGGCACAGCTCCTGTGCACCGTGTCCCGCGCCAGGCGCATCATCGCCTCGCTGTGGCTCTTCACCTCCCTCTATTGCCTCATGTGGTTCTTCCTGGTGGACACCACCCAGGTCACCTTCTCGGATGGGGCGCAGGTCACCTGTGGCTACCGGGTCTCCAGGAGCCTTTACATGCCTATTTACTTCTTGGATTTTGCCGTCTTCTATGTCATCCCGCTGGGGCTGGCCACTGTCCTCTACGGCCTCATTGCCCGCATCCTCTTGGCGAGCCCCGTGCCCGGCACCCCGCAGCATCCCCCGGGCTCCGGGCACCAGGGCAGCTCCCTCAAGCTCTCCTGCCGGGGCGGCAGGGCTGCCCTCGGCTCCCGCAAGCAGGTAGGGGCTCCCCGCAGTCTGGGGGCTTTGAGGGCCGTTCTGGCAGGGATGAGGTGCCACGCTGCTTTGCTTCCCTTTCTGGAGGGAGTGGGGAGCGTTGGTTTGCTGCCAAGGAGCCCCTCAAGCCCAGCTGGGGTCTGGCAGCACGGATGGGCTCCCCCTGCTTTGGTTGGGCTTGGTAGAGCAGGACAGGGATTCAGGCGGGGAGAGGCAGGAGTGCAGGCACTTCTGCTGGCTAATTAATTACTGATTGCCCCCCCGAGGAGGAGAGGGCTGGGTCACGTTATGGCAGTGGGACTCATCTCTCAGACAGCGTCCTGTACAGGTGAGCTCACATTTAAAGGAGCAAAGAGAAGGGAGAACTGTCCTCCCTTGGAGGCCAGCCCTGGCTGCAGCCCCCCAGTCCTTGCAGCCGGGGGAGTCACTGCCACAGAGGTGTGTTTGCATTTCGGTGGTTCCTGTGTCTCTCAGCTGCCTGCTATCTCTCCATATCCTTCTCCTCCCACCTCCTTCTGTCCTCATTGCTCATCCTTCTCTGTTCACATGGGCAATCACTGCCTCGTGTCCCATCTCTTTGGGCAGGTCAGTATCCAGACAAGGGACAGTCCCACTCTGAATAGGCAGGGCCCATTCAGCTTTCCTTTTAAAGGAAGGGGTTGAATCTGGGACTTTGGCTTGAAGTCCTTGAAATCACTAGTTCTGTTGTGATTTCCAAAGTAGGCTCCAGCCTGCCCTATAGTCCTTGTGTTTCCAGCTCAGTAGCTTGTTGCCTGCCTCGCACAGGAACCTCCATTCCCCAGGAGAGACGAGTCAGGGTCACAGAGGGGAAGCAAACAGCTCAGAGAACGTGTATTTCTTCATGAACTTCTGAATCTTTCCAGTCCAGATTTTCCTCCCTTTTCCTCTGAAAGGTCAGCAAGTGCTGACTTCTCCAAAAGCATTTGCCTGTTCTCCCATGGCCACTGGCTGCTGCAGGAGCCTTGGGCAGGGTGTTTTGCAGCAAGGGCTCTTGGCTGGTTGATGGATCTCTCCTTCCAGAGCAGCTTGCTGGAGGGGCTGTGCTGCTCCCCCTGCAATGCTGTGCTGTGGAGTGGCACAGAATGCTCCAGAATTTTTGGGACAAGTGGCTGCTGGGGCATTCCAGCTCCTGGAAACGTCTTGTGCTCTCTTTGCTGTTACACCAGGAGTTGACTCGAGATTGGCATTACCTCCCACAATATCCTAGCACGCAAAGACTGCCTTGGAAAGCCTGACATCACAGTGCTGCCATCATAAGGGATAAAGATGGCACTAAGTTTTTAAACTGTAAAACAGTTTTCCAGGGCTTCCAGTTGGTGTGTGTGTAGCCCTGGAGGTGCCTCTGACCAGAGTACAGACACCCACATCAGCGTTTCTCCTCTGGCCTCTCTTTATAGGAGAACTGGCCCTTCCAGGTCCCGTGCCCAGAGCTCCCTGGGAAGGCTCCTAAAGGGGCTCTCTCAGAAGGGCCTGTTTTTCTCCCCTGCCTGGATGGCTGGGGGAGGTTTTCTGTGGCTGTGCTCCTACACAGCCCCAGAACTGCCCTGCTTTTGGGGTGTGAAGATGCTGCAGTTCTCTCACTAGTGCTTGTAAAAGCACTTAAATCCTGAGCAGGACAACAAACAAGGTGTGAGCTTTGCTGTATTTACCACTTCTACAAACACCTCCAAGTCTGTATTTCTCCTCCCGAAGAGGGACCACTAGAGGGAGTGGGATTCCTAAAAAAAGGCTGTACAACTCAGAATGTACGGTGCAGGAATAAGGAGGGAGGATACTGCCTGGGGAGAAGCATCTGTGGCTTCCAGGAGAGAAGAGGCTGGACAGTTTTGTGAGACACCACTTGTACATTTTCTCAGATCTCGCCCAAAAGGCAACAAACTGTAGCAGCAAACAAGTTTCAGTCTTAGCAACAGCCTCAGCACTCATTGTATCACTGCAAGATCTTATTTTTGGAAGTGTCTTCACATTTCCATTAAACCACACACAGCAAACACCTTCTATTTTGGCCACAGCTGGGTAATAGTCCCTTTCTTCTAGGGAAAGTTTTGTTGCCACAAGCAATGACTCCCAGTTTCTACTCACAGCATTACAGGAAGGTATAGTTTCTTTTGATGAAGTAAAATAGCACTCCAAGAAAAGCTGAGAGACTCTAAATGTGATCCCAGTGCTTATGTCCATACTAAGAACTGGATTATTGCACAACTCCCTTTCTGACATTTGAAACACCACTGCCTAGATACGCGTGTGGCATCAGTGTTTAGTCATACTTTCCTCCTTGGGGACGTGTGTATTGTGTCAGTATTTGTTTGAGGAGGATTGCCACTTACCAGAAATAGCTGTTGAAATTATTAGGATGACTGGTGTTTCAGTGCAAAACCCCAATTTCCTGAACGAGCTTATTTTGAGCTGAGGGCAATTACTGCTCACTTCTGGGTTCTCAGTTTCTTTTTGTTCCCAATATGTTTATGTAGTACTCCCCTAGTGTGCTGAAAATTAAAGTAACCCGTGGTAAGTATCTAGGTAAGCCCTATGTCAGCACAAGTAATATAAGATTCCTGACAGTCTCCTCTGCTTCCAGGGTTGCTCTGTACCAGAAGCCTGTTCCAGGAACAATGTAAGTGATGTAGGAAACCAGGAAACCCTAGGGAAGGAGATGAAGTGTATCCCATGACACCCCTAAAACTGAGGTCCCTACCTTTAGACAAGTATTTTCCCCATTCATTTACTGTTATGTAAAATTTTCAAATTTGTTTTCTGGTACAGACCATGCTTATCCTAGCTCATTACAAGGATGGTGAATACCTTTCCTAAAGAGATTTAGAGGCTCTTCAATGGTAGATGACAATCTATAATTTCTGGTTTTATTTATGCAAGATTATTTCCTGATTAAAACGGTTTCAGCAAGAACTAGTGCCATGCCCTGGGTGTTTCTTTTAAATGCTTAGAGAGAGGAACTAGCTGTCTGCACCAGTGCTACAGTGGGAAAGTTGTGCTGGAGATTTAGCACCATCTGGCTATTTCTCTTTTTGCATCTCCCCCCATCAAGGTGACCAAGATGCTGGCTGTGGTGGTGGCCCTCTTTGCCGTGCTGTGGCTGCCTTACCGCACGCTGGTGGTGGTGAACTCCTTCGTGGACCCTCCGTACCTCAACACCTGGTTCCTCCTCTTCTGCCGCCTGTGCATCTACCTGAACAGTGCCATCAACCCCATCATCTACAACCTCATGTCCCAGAAGTTCAGGGCTGCCTTCAGGAAGCTGTACAAGTGCCAGGAGAAGGGTGCTGAGCACCCTGCCCCGCCCTGCACCCCGGTGTCCTACAGCGCTGTGAAGGACTGTTCTCACGACAGCTCTGACCACAACCTCACCGAGCAGGAGGATCTGAGCAGGCTCCCTGCACCTGCAAAGAAACATAAACAAATCCCCCGAGACTGAAACAACGCAGGCAGTGGGAGCTAAGTGGCTGTACACACTGTGCTGGGAGAGTGCCAAGGGGAATTGCTTTGGCATTGCAGCGAGCTTCATTCAGTACTCCTTCAGGGCATTTAAGAAAATGTATTGTTATAGGCAAATTAATTTGCTTTTCCTTAGTGCTAATTTATTCTTGTTTGGTGAAGTGTTAGGCACAGGTCAATATTTAGCATCTCCAAAGCATCTGTTGTTAAATATAGCAGTGCCACCCCATTTTGTTATGTGCAAGTGCTGAGCTGGACCAAAGCACTGAAAGGAATCCCAGGAACAGAAGACTGTTCAAGGAAAAAATACACCTTTTTCTAGAGTGAGTCTGTCCTACCCAAACTGACATGCCACAGACACCCCATGGAAGCTGCTCCTCTGGAGTCCTTTTGAAGTTAATGAGGACAATTAGGCACTTCCACGTGTCTCATCTCACCACTCTCCTGTGAGGAATACATCCCCACAGAGGAGATAAATGCCTCCAAGACACGAGGCCATTGGCTGTAAAGGGACTCTCAGGGGGAGACTCCTACATTAGGAATAACCAAAGCTGGGTGTCATGAGCTTCATATCATGTCTCTGCAAACACTGCAGTGCTGGTAGCACAGAAACCCGAGATCCAGACTAGACAGATTTGCTACAATTAGCAAACTAATAATGAACAAACTAACAGTAAATGCTCCCTAATGTAACAGAAGTACTTCCCACGTTGTGGTCTGAGTTTCTTTTGGATAACTTTATTTTTCCTGTCCAAATTCCTCTGGTTGTTTCAGCTGGAAGCTGTACTCTTGTCCTGTAAGCCCTAGTGATCTCTGTAGTTGTGTACCACAGAGCAGTGTTGCTCTCTGCCCCAGCTTCAGGTGCATTTCCACGGCAGGTGAAGAAATTCTCTTATTTCCTGGAAATCATTTGTGAAGCCCATTAAGTGTTTTGTGATTAGTGTCACAAATATTTATTGCTGCTGTCTTCTTGTAAGCAAGGTAGATATTCATACCCTGCAGCACCCAGGAGACCAAGGACACTTGCCCCAGACTTGCAAGAGACCATCTGGACTATGAGCAAAATCAAAAGATTCACATGAACCAAACCCCAGGCTCATGCCAAATAAAACAAGTGTCTGCCACCAGTAAGCCTCAAGTGACTGTGAAGTATCACTTGAACAGCCAATGTAGCCTCACTAGTCAAGTTACCTTAGTTTGGTTTTCACCAAACTGTAGTGTTAAAAGAGCTTAGAATTTTGCAGCCACTTGGGAAAATATGTGTGTGATATTTTCAAGGGCACAAAATGTTAATTAACCATTCTGCATCTACAGGAAATCATTTCACTGAATGAGTCAGGACAAGAACTCAAGTCCCCTCAGTGTGTTGGAACTGTCCAGGACCTATTTTGTTGTGTTTAGGGAGGTTTAGCATATATGATTATTATATTGCATGTTATTAAACCATCTATGTTATCCCTAAAATAGATGAGGATGAGGGAAGAGAACACTGGCTTTTTGCAGTTATTTTAAACATAATGCATTTGGAGTTTAAGCATTCATGCTATTTTTGCACTGTTTTGTGTATATTGTATAATGTGAATTTATGAACAGAGTTCCTATTTGTTGTTATTAAGAAAGTTCTGCGCAGAGATTTGGGATTTACTTCTTGAAGAAAATTGAGGTGTTTTTGCTAACATGTGAGGATTTTCTTGTAACAATCTTCTTTATACTACAGACATTTTTTCCCCTTTAGAACAGATTTTCCCTTAGCAGCTCAGAACAAGCCATTGATAAAGATGTGCAGACAAAGCAGAGCAGCAAGGATCAGGGTAAGGGGGAGGAGTGGGAAGGGGATCCCTGGGTGACTCCTGGGGCTTTGAGCACAGGCAGCATCTTCCTGGGGATGGGCTGTGCTGTCTCCGCCAGCCCTTCCCCTGAAGCTGAGGGGGCAGAGCTGGATGTGGGAAGAGGATTTACTGCTGGAGCTTGGAAACCCACCTGCATCCTGACCTAAGGCATTTCTCAGGCACAGGATGTGCAGTTTGACAGACAGCCTTGATCTCTGCAAACACAAGGAGCTGCTTGATTCTGAAGTATCTCCAGCAAGATGTTTTCCACTCCTCATCACATTTCCTATCTTCACTCTTCCCCTTTCTGCTTCTCCCCCAAATGGAGACACCCTAAAAAGCATTATTTTCTTAATTAAATTTCAGGCCAGCAGATAGAACAGATAGTTCTGAAATATTTGTTCAACATACTTGAGATTCAATTAAAACCTGATTCTCTTCTCCCCTTTCTGCTCTTAGCTGCCAAGTGCTGCATGACCCTTTGCTATTTCTTGAGAAGTAATTGGCAGATAAATTCTCCTGGAACCACGAGATCTCCAACAAATGCACCAGAGCGTTAAACTCTGTAGATGAGGAATGAGTTCCTGGTCCTTCCCCCTGCATGTATTCTGACACTTTAGGAGGAGCTGAGAGACTTTTAGGTGGAAGTGGAGGCAGAAGGTCAGCACTCAGCTGCTAAGGAGATGGTGGTTGAGATATGCATGCTGCTGGGAAATAAATCAATAGCAGAAAATAATTAAAATAAATAACTCATCACTGTAAGTTCATTTGGATATTCAGGGTCTGAATAAAAATCTCAATTCCTTAAAATAAATCAGAGATCTCCCTTGAAGCTTCAGCCTGCATTACCTAGCACCTTGCAAAATCCCACCCTGCTCATAAAGTCTCAAGCCGTATTTTACCCTCAGCATTTATTTGTCTCAACAGCATGAGTGTGGGCTGTGAGTTTATAAACATGCCAGCAAATAAAGAATCTATTGCTCCTAAGTAATTTATCGCATTGAAGTGTAACCCAACATGGTCTAACCTGTTACTCTCCTAATTAAAGCTCATTATTTCTAACCCCTGCCCTTTCAAGGGTTGTTAACCTGGTAAAACACCATCTGGTTTCTTCAATTACAAACAAGTCCCCTGGCAGGAGAGGAGGGATCTGGCAGTGCTGCAGAGCCCTGGGGTGAGGGGAAGAATTTGTGAGTAGTGCAGAGAGGGGGATGGAGGAGGCAGAGGCTTGGGGAAGAGCTGATGGGAGAGTGGTGAGGTTTCTGTGCCTGAAGGATCATAGGTTGGCTGAAGCTCCTGGCATTCATCAGGGAGTTTCAGCTTAGGAGACACCACATCCAGCACATTTACCTGAATTTAACTGGTCCCAGTGATAGAGGACACGCAGCAACTGCCTGTATGCAGGGCATGGATGGGACCTCAGCAAGGGTTATGTACTCTGGCAAAACACACAAGTTTAAGTAACTTATGAAAATCTGTAGTTAAAGGCCCTATCAGGTTGTCTTCTTTGTCTCTAGATTTGGGTGGTGGGAAATGGGGGAAATAAGGCATCTATGCCAGCCTGTGTCACAGGAGAGAGATCATGCAGGTGTTTTTTTGGGACAGCCTCTCCCCTACAATGATGGCCAGCACTCTGAAAGCCAGCCTGCTCCAGGGACAAATTATGGAGTAACAGAAAATACCAGAAGTTCCTTAAAAAACAAAAAAAAATTATTAAAAGACCATGAGGGCATGCAGCACCTCCCTGCAACCAGAACAGGCTTCCACTCTGTGGCACCCAATCATGTTTTTAAAATAAAATAGTGGTACCTTTAAATGAAAAATATTCAGGTCACCAAAGAGGATGCTGAGCAATTGCTTAAATTTTTAAGAGCCACAAGAAAGGATGGACCACACAGTAGGGAAAGAATTGGATGCAGCCCTCTTTCAATCTGGTCTGGCCTCAGCTGCTTCTTTGAGCTAATTAGTTCAAGCAGATCACAATTAAAGAGCTGCTAATAAAACCTGGGGATAGTCCTACAGCAATATTAATGCAATCACTCAGAGTTGTTTATTTTGCAATTCCTGTTTCCCAAGGCTTCTGGAGGGCTCTTGGGCCAGCACTGCCCCCAGACTTGCCTTCAGGCTTGCACTCACTCAGGGATTGCTCCTCAGGACTCTTCAAACCAAGGCAAGAGTTTCAGAAGTGCCCTGGGGCACACAGCACATCAAAGCTTGCCAGTCCTGTGGGACTGACTTTAATTTACTACAATACTCTCAGTTTAGCAGTTAACCAGCCCTACACATTTCTGTCCTGACAGAGGCTAAATGAAGACTTTAATGGGAGGGCATTGCCTGTGCCCCAAATCTGGGGTGTGTTCCCTGGTACTGCCTGAGGGAGGGAACATGATGGCTACACACAGGCCCCTGTGCCATGGGTGATGAGCAGAAGTATTAAGGACAATTTGTGCTTTATAATTGATGAATTTTCTTTAATAACCACCTTATGAATTGGGCTCTGAGTGTGCTGTTTCTATAGAGACAGGGGATACTGTGAGTGCACCAGTGGCTCTTCACTGCTCTGCCAATAGAGAATTCATGCCTGATAACACAAGTTGTGAAGCCTATAAAAACTTTAACCTCTCAAGGAAAAGGCCCCGGGGTGGTCCTGGTGCTAACATGGTTTTGAGGTCCTCAGCAAGGGCCCACTGGGCTCCCAAGCTGACTGATCCTGTCTTTGCAGGCACAGTGTGGGTGGTTGCTCAGAGGAAGTAAATGAAAAGCTACTTCTTCCAGCTGTGCAGTGCCAGTATTTCTGACAAGAGGAGAGGGTTCCACAGTAAGGCCCCTTGCTGCCAGCCCCAAGCTGGGCATGGGATGCCCTTTCTGGTGGTGCCTGTTCCCTGATGCATTAATGCTCCTGGGGCTCAAGCTAGCTTCCAGGAAGAGTCCTGAAGCAAAGGCAGTGGTGTGGAGCCAGACCCATTCCTGGCTCCTTGGCCAGAGAGGACTACAGGAACCCTTCTGCATGTTTCAGCACCTTCTCAGTGCCAGGGTCACATTTACCCCAGCTCTGACCCTTCCTCTTGTGCAAAGACAAAGACCAAAAGAGAGGGTGGCTCCTGAGAGCCCCCATGCCCCACTAGGACAGCGGAGGACAGTGTGGCTGTCCCCAGGATGCCTGGGCAGGTCACTGTCAGAGGACACTGAGGCTCAGATTGCACCTTCCCTCCCACCAGTGGAGGGTAAGGCTCCTGCCCTTCGACACAGGATCAGGCCAGTGCCTTTAGCTTGGTTCTCACATATCAGACACCTCCCTGCCTGCCCTTGGGGACACTTGGCTGGACACTGTGGGGACATTATCCCTGAAACCAGCAGCTATTGAGGCAGAGAGACAAGCACTGTCCCCACTACCCTGGGGAAGCTGCAGATTTTTCGTTCTGCCTTAATTAATAAAGCAATGCATCATTGCTTCAGCAGCAGACCCACCTCCCTCCCTACTGCCTCTGTAACACGTGAGCCAAAGACCTGCTCCATTCATCAGCCTGAGATTTATGAGGTGCACAAGCTCCAGTTACCCTGCTGCCCCTGACTGATGAATGAGATGTAGCTGGTTCCTCCCATACCCAGAAGCAAAGCAAGCCCAGAGGAGAGTAAAGCCATTATTTCATTAAACTCAGCTCCTTAAGTCTCTACCAGGGCATAAAGCTTGCCACGAGACCCCTCACACCCACAGAAGGCAGGGGCAGCACTTCTGCCCATGAAGGCTGAGCCTGTGTCCCACCAGCCTCTCTGCACAGTCTGGCTTTGCTCATGTGGAACACTCCAGAAATAGAAAAAGGATTGGAGGTTTTGGCTACTCTGGATTCCTTAGGCCCCAGGGCCCTGCTGCCCTGGGCTGGTGCTGGGCTCTGCTCATCCATCCTCCCCCATTAATCACCCAGCTGCCATCTCCCTCTGCCTCGTGCCTGAGACAGCCGGGTTGTTTCAGGAGGCTGAGCGAGAGGATGGGGCACAGGCAGTGGAGAACAGCTCCTCCCCGAACCCAGGAGGAGCAGCCAGTGACACACAGCTCAGAATGAACTCGGCAGCAGCCCTGGGCTCGGGAGGCAGCAAAGGGACCTGGCAGCAGCCATCTGCATGGCCTGGGCAGGCTCTGGGCCAGTGAGCTGCCTTTCCTCCTGGCTCTGTGCAACCCCTGCCAGAGGCCAGCACGATGGGAGCACGTGGAGTGTGCTCACAGACTCACGGGTCCTTAAAGGCTGCCTAAAAGCAGTTAGTGAAAACAACTCTCTTTGCAAAGTATCCCCATCAATAAAAAAAATTCAAAATTTTATAACAGGTAATTAAGAAATAGCTAAAAAACATCCAGATGCCACCAATAAAATTCTGCACTACTCTGCTTTAGAACTGGCATGAATGTGTCAACATGGAAAGAAATCTGGATATTCCCCTGCAAAAATCCACATGGATAGAGTGAGCAGATAACTGTTTATTATTGCACATAATCCAGCAGAATAACCGACAGAAAACTCTGGACAGTAGTACACAGACTGTAGTAAACAGCTTGCAAAATCTGTGATGAGGGTATTTTTGTGTGAAGAGTGAAAGGTATCTGCATCTTTGTAAGACCTGAAAAGTATAACACAAAATCCTAATCAGTTTTGAAAGCATGCACTTTGAGGTAAATCTGGTATTTTGCATCTAAGGAAATGAAATCCCTAAGGGGCTCTCTCTCTATGTATATATATCCATATCTCAGGGCAATATGGATACAGTTATACATCACATAAAAGCAAATCTACCTACTTTTCTCAGAAGGTTACTAGGAAGAAAGCACATTACTGAGTGCATATCACATGCATAAAAAATAAGGAGGGGGGGAAGGAATTACCTTAGCACTGTTGAAAAAGATCCATTTTTGCACTTAGTGATAAATAAAAGCCCCTCAGGTCTCTCAATGGAAATTGTCTTGGTGGTGAATGAAAGCAGTTGGCATATTGAAACTGCAGAGCTGGCAAGTGAATGCCAGCAAATGGAGATAAAATGTCAAAGGACGCAGAGCCTGGGGTTTGCAATACATTTATATTTAAAGAAAGAAAAAAAAATAAAAGAAAACAAGGAAATTGCTACTAAACTATGCTCTGTGGAAGTGTAGATGATGCTGCACAGCTTTCTCAGGACTGGTACAGCCACATGGCTTTTAGGAAAGGATCATATTCACTTCTCCCACACTTAATACCACATATTTGCTACTGTGGCAATGTTCCTGAGCTGAATAAGGTTAAAAAATAGACTTGGTTCACAAAGAAAAGTACTGAATTATTCTCACTCTCTTACGCCATAACTAGAGTAGATAAATTAGGCAGGTTTTGCCCCCTGTCTCCAGTGAGTGTAAACCCCTGTGTGTCTGCCACTCCGTCTCTGAAATCCTTTCAGATTGACCTTTGAAGCAGACCAGGCATCTGTTTTTTTCCTTAACTATCATTTCCCCATTCTTTCCAGTCCAACAAGGTTTTCCCACCCAGTCCTGTGCTGTGGGACTTCAGGATACACAGAGGTGCACAACCAACTATAAATAACATCTCTGATTATCTTAAAAAGGGATAGGAAATACACATTGCTCTTAAAAGAAGGAAGAAACATGCCCAAGCACTCAGCCTCACACTAAACTGTAACTTCATCTGTGCTGACTTTCTAAGCTCGCACTGCTGAGGATCAGAGCAGATCGTGGTGGAAATATCTCCTTCCAAAGGTCACTCCCTGTCACAGCTTTGGGGAAATTGATACAAATCGCCCAGACCTCTCAGCCTTGCACACATGAGCAACAGCTACAACTGCCCCACTGTACTCTGCCACTGCTGAAAGCCTGGCTGCTGCATATTTCTGAGCCCAACATCCAAACACACTGCAGTCACTCACATCTCTGCACCTTTTTTCTTTCAGGAATAAGGTAACCTCTCCCACGATAGCCACCCTACATCCTCTGGCTGGAAAGTCTGTTCATTGGGTGCAAGAAGAGGCCAGGACCCCCTGAAGCCCAGAACACCAAGGGGAGGAACCTGCAGGTGTATGGAGGCATTTTCAGCAAGAACCTCCTTTTCACTGGAACTCACAACATTTTCATAGAAAAAAAGGGGTAAAGGGACAAATTCATCACACCTACTGCCTTTCCCGTTACAGTGGGAAGCCACCCACTGCAAGACATTTCTGTGCAGAGCACTGTTGGTGGCAGGAGAGGGCTTGGATGGTGCCTGGTCCCAAAAAAGGCCCCATCTCCACCCAAAGCACCCCCACAGGCACCAACAGCCTTGGATCCACCAGTCCCTCACACCCCACCCCACCCCGCGGGCCCATCCGTGGTGCATCGGCCACCATGGGCAGGACTCGGGTCACACTTCAACAAGCCAAATTTCAACTTGCTCCCCCTCTCAGTCCTCCATACATGGAAAATGATGCCAGGTGCCAGGGGAAAGGAAAGACTTTTTGTTCATCCCTTTGGATGACTTCCAAGCACGGAGAGCAGTGTCGTCCACCCCGAGCCATGGCGCGGCTCTCATGAGTCATTCTGGTTGCTGCATTGCTTCATCTCCATGCCGTGGATGACAATCTTTGGAAAATCTCTGACACCAAGTCAACCAAGGGAGTTACAAAACACATCAGTGTGCACGCATGAGACCTTCTCACTCGTTTTCCTACAGCTACAGATAAGTCCCTCATCCCTGGCATGGCAGGACAGTTGATGGCTTTGGTGAGAATAATTTAAGGCAACTGCTATTTTATACAAAGAAGAGGAGACCACAGTGCAGAAACCCTGGCTTTTCCTTGGTAGATTGCAGAGGCCAGCCACAGCCTGGGAGCAGGAAACTGAACTGATCTTCAGACACTCTCATTTAAGGCTGATGTTTGCAGTGTAACCTTGGGATCTCAAGTCCTCCTCTTAGGTGTTTCCAGGTGGCTGAGGTTTAATCCCCGCCAAGGTCTGAGGTCTCCACCAGCAGCAACGCCTGTCCCAGACACAGATAAATAGAAAAGTCAAGGGAGAGCAAAACACCTGTCCAACACAATACCACAGCTGTCTGCAAGGCTTTCACCTGTGCAGGCTGAGTGGGACTAAAAACATGACAGAAAGCTGTGCCCAGCAGAGCAGTTTTGTCCCCCAGGAGGTCCTGGGAAAGCAGCCAGTATCTCCATGGGGGCTTAGAGGTGTCTCTTGTGTTACATTCACAAATTGAGGATAAAATCTCATTCTGCTTACCTTGTTCAAGAGGCTCATCATGTCAAAAAATGTACAAATAGGATGGCCAGACCAATGTTCAGTAAGATGACCATGCAGATCACGATTGTGTTAGGTCCCTGAAGGAAAAACCCAAAACAGAGTATTACACACCACAGCTCCAGGGGAGGAGACAGACACAGCTTGATTCTTCTGTTCAAAAATACCACAATCACCCCCTCTCAATGCACTGAAATCTGGCACCTAACAACCAGCCCGAATTTCAAACTAGTTTATCGTATCCTATCCTATTCCTACTTCTCTGCAAATTCATTTGAAGGAGGTTAAGTCAGGCTTCTTTTGCAGCTAAATTAGACTAAATGAGACTGTGATAACAGGAACATGAATTGCTGATCCCATGTCAGGCTGCTCCTCCCAACTCCCTTCGGCATCCACATTGCCTGTGTTTGTAAACTTTCCATTTTTAATATCATAGAATCATAAAATGCTTTGGTTTGGAAGGGTACTTTGAACATCATCTATTCCCAAACCCCAACAAATGAACCCATGTGAGATTGCTGTAACTTCAGACCAAAGTATTTCCAAGCCATGCTTTTCTAAAGTCACATTGGAATCATTCACGTCCAAAGGGCTGCAAGACGGGACTCAAAGGGCTAATAAAATGTCTGGGTTTCCAGCTGTATTTGCTAAGAGCAAAATTGAGTTTCAGTGACTATGTTTTAAACCTGGGAAATTGGCTGGTGATTCAACACCACAGTTCAGCTTATGAGGTGCCCCTACAGAAAAAAAAAAATGTAAGTGAAATGGATAAAACAGAAAAACACTTGAGCTTTTCCTGCTTTTCCCCTCCCCCAACTTTCATATCCAAGTTGGCTAGTAATAGGGTGGGAAAAGAAGGTGAGAAAAGTGGATAAAATTAATTTGATGATGCCTGGTTTTGCACAAATTTTGAAATACAATGTGTCTGAAAGTATATCTGCCCAGGTAGAGAGAGGAGGTCAAAACGGGTGGGTTATGAATGTCAGGCCAAACATCCAGGCAGGGAAGGCAGCAGGAGAGGGGGATACCAACACTCTCCTCCAGCGGTTCTACGATCCCAAAAAGAGCCGCCAGGCACCACTTGGCGCCCACTGACTGCAGCCCCAGGCCCAGGGAGTCTGCATCCCTCTGGGACCTGCCACACCTCATGGGAAACAATAAAGGAAAGGCAAAGGTGGCTCCCAGGGATGGCCCACGTCACCTCTTCACACTCCTCCGCCTTCTGTGCTGCCACCGCTGCTTGTGCCGGGCCGCGCTTGGCCCCAGCCCTGGGCTCGGTCCGGCCCGGGGCCCTGGCCTCAGTTTTCCTGTCGGCCGCGGGCT